AGACATTAGGATCTTCCTATATGACTCTAGAGTTCTTCAGGATTCACGTCAGTATTTATCGACCACTTTTGGCAACTCGTCAAGAGATTTGTGTGCCTTAGTAATTAGTCATAATGTTATCACGTATTCAGTAATGTTAAACGTTCTCAATGTTCAGATCCCGCCACGTAGGGAACCCGATCATCAGGCTCCTACTCAGGCTACGGTAGTCGCCCAGTTTCGCGACTATCACGAAGAAAAGTTTTCAGGACAGGGAGACCCCCGCATTGTAGATGAATGGATTCAGGGGTTGGAATTTATCTTTGAGGTCATGGACTGCCCCGATAGGTATCGCGTAGTTTGCGCTCAGCTTCAGCTCACTGGTGATGCAAGGCTCTGGTGGAATGCCTACTGGAGCATGCGTCCCGGTGAAAAAGCGGGTTGTACATGGGACATGTTCAAGGATCTAGTCCGCGAAAAGTACTACCCTTCCTACTATCGGGCAGAGATGGAGCGTCAGTTCTTAGCGCTTCAGCAGGGCACTCGTACTGTTGATGAGTACGAGCGAGAGTTCACTAGACTTGCAGCTTTCTTACCGGACCTGGTTCGCACGGAGGCTCAGAGAGCGCAGCGGTTCATTGACGGGCTTTACCCAGCAGTCCGTCATAATATCATGGGACACGGTACTCAGACCTACGCTCGTGCCGTTTCTATCGCCCAGGAAGTGGATGCTAGCATCAGGAGGGAGGCAGTTCGTGATCGTGCTCAACCATCCGCCCCAGTTCAGCCATTCGCAGCTCCACCAGCTTTACCAGCCCCTCAGCCGGCAAAGGAGAAGAAGAGGAAGGGGAAGGGTGCACAGACTGACCAGAGGACCCGACAGAGACAGCAGCCGATTCCACCGTGCCCGACATGCGGACGACTTCACAGGGGAGAGTGCCATGTGGGACAGGACATCTGTTATTACTGCCACGAGCTGGGACATTTTGCGAGTCGCTGTCCGAAGAGACTCCAGCAGCAGCCTCAACAGCCACCACAGCAGCAGCAGCCACGTCAGCAGGCACAGTGGCCGCCTCAGCAGCAGCAGCAACAGAGGGGCAGGCAGCAGGCCCGGGTATACGCAGTCGATCAGGCAGAGGCAGCACAGCAGCCAGGTACTATGTCAGGGATGGTTGTTCTCAATGATATTCCTGTGTTTGCTTTATTCGATACTGGAGCGACACATACTTTCATATCACGACGATGTCTCGATGCCATCGGAGTTCACGCCGTTATCGCTGTCGATCCTCTCGAGGTGAGTTTAGCCTCGGGACGAAAGATAGTGACCTCAGCTAAAGCCTCAGATCTTAGCCTTTCCATCGGTGGCCGAGTATTGACTGTCGACGCGTTTGTTCTCGAGATGAGGGACTTCGATCTTATTCTCGGGATGGATTGGCTATCCTTCTATCATGCAGACATCAGATGTCATGACCGGGAGATAACTCTCTATCTTCCGGGAGACGAGTCGATTACTTTCTTCGGCTCCAGGAATCGTTCACTACCTCATGTTGTTTCGATGGCGAAAGCCACTAAGTTATTGCGACGAGGCAACTGCCAGGGTTATCTGGTTAGCCTTGACGATGATTCTCAGAAAGCGCGATCACCTCATGATGTTCCAATTGTTCGCGAGTTTGTGGACGTGTTCCCAAACGAGCTTCCAGGAGGACCGCCTAACCGGCAGGTGGAGTTCTCTATCGATCTTATTCAAGGGGCCGGTCCAGTATCTAAAGCCCCATACCGTATGGCGCCTAAGGAGTTGCAGGAGTTGAAGACTCAGATTCAAGAGTTGTTACAACTCGGTTTTATCCGACCGAGCGTGTCACCATGGGGAGCACCCGTTCTCTTTGTTAAGAAGAAGGACGGATCCATGCGCATGTGTATCGACTACCGGGATCTTAACCGGTTGACGATCAAGAACAAGTACCCGCTTCCCAGGATCGACGACCTATTTGATCAATTGAGGGGAGCCTGTGTGTTCTCGAAGATTGATTTACGATCAGGCTACCACCAGGTGAATATTAAGGAGTCAGATATCGCTAAGACCGCTTTCAGGACTCGTTACGGCCATTACAAGTTCGTCGTCATGCCTTTTGGTCTCAGCAATGCGCCAGCTGTTTTCATGGACCTCATGAATCGTATTTTCCATCCCTACCTCGATCAGTTTGTTATTGTCTTTATTGACGATATTCTTATCTACTCGAAGAGCCAGAAGGAGCACGAGGAGCATCTGAGGGTGGTTCTCGAAACCCTCAGACGAGAAAAGTTGTTTGCAAAATTCTCTAAATGCGAGTTCTGGCTCCAGCGAGTATCCTTTCTGGGTCATGTGATTACTCAGGCAGGCATCGAGGTGGATCCTTCTAAGGTTTCAGCCGTTCAGAACTGGTCGACACCGAGGATTCCGTCCGAAGTTCGCAGTTTTCTCGGTCTAGCTGGCTACTATCGCGGGTTTATTGAGGGCTTTTCTAAGATTGCCCTCCCTCTTTCCCAGCTGACGAGGAAGTCTGTGACGTTCGAGTGGACTGATCGATGTGAGGCGAGCTTTCAGGAGCTCAAGAGGAGGTTAACTTCAGCACCGGTGTTGACTATTCCCGATCCTTCTCGAAGTTTCACTATTTTCAGCGATGCTTCGAGACAGGGCTTGGGATGTGTCCTTATGCAGGACAACCAGGTCGTCGCGTATGCTTCACGTCAGCTTAAGCCTCATGAGCAGAATTATCCTACGCACGACTTGGAGTTAGCAGCAGTCGTTCATGCTCTCAAGATTTGGAGACATTATCTTTACGGCGGACGTTGCGAGATTTTTACAGATCATAAGAGCCTGCAGTACATCTTCACGCAGAAGGAGCTTAATATGAGGCAGCACCGTTGGCTCGAACTTGTCAAGGATTACGACTGCTCTATTCAGTATCATCCGGGAAAGGCGAACGTCGTCGTAGATGCCCTAAGCTGAAAGATGAAGGGTGACTTGACGTACGTCATTACGCAGCAGAGTCCGTTGATTCATGAGTTTGCCCGGATGCAGCTTCAGGCGATCGATGCACTTCCCATAGCCGTTTTGGGGGTTACCAATGCCAGCGTCAGTGCTATGCAGCTTCAGCCGACGCTGAGAGAGAGAATCCGGCGAGAGCAGGCTTCTGACAAGTTCATTCGTGTCATGGAGGCCAAGGTTCACGCCGGAGGGGTCAAGGATTTTTAGTTAGGTGTCGATGGTGCCCTAGAGTTCAGAGGCAGGATCGTGGTCCCGAAGGTCGAGGCGTTGCGGAAGGAGATTTTATCAGAGGCACATACCGCACCCTATTTGGGCCATCCCGGGAGCACGAAGATGTATCATGACCTGAAAGGGTCGTTCTGGTGGCGAGGCATGAAGAAGGATGTCGCCGAGTTTGTCAGGAGATGTCTTACCTGTCAGCAAGTCAAAGCCGAACATCAGAGTCCGATCGGCCTCCTGCAGCCACTACCGATTCCGAGGTGGAAGTGGGAGGAAGTCACGATGGATTTCGTTACGGGATTACCGAGGTCGTCTGAACATCACGACGCTATCTGGGTTGTGGTCGACAGATTGACTAAGGTCGCGCATTTCTTACCCGTTTCGATGAAGATGTCTCTGGACAAGTTGGCTGAGATATATACCCGTGGGATCATCCGACTCCACGGAGTGCCCGTTACGATTGTGTCAGACAGAGATCCCAGATTTGTCAGTCGATTCTGGCACAGTTTACATGAGGCGATGGGCACGAAGTTAGAGTTCAGTTCAGCCTACCATCCGGAGACAGATGGTCAGTCCGAGCGGACTATTCAGACGCTTGAAGATATGCTTCGCGCTTTGGTTGTTGACAGGGGTGCTAAGTGGGAGTCGTTGTTGCCGTACGCCGAGTTCGCGTATAACAACAGCTATCATTCTTCCATTCAGATGGCTCCTTACGAGGCACTTTATGGTCGCAAGTGTCGTTCCCCTCTCTATTGGGACGACGTTGGAGAGCGACGAGTACTCGGTCCTAAGATGATCGAGGAGACAGCGGAGCAGGTCGAGTTGATCCGGCAGAAACTCAGGACAGCTCAGAGTCGACAGAAATCTTTCGCCGATCATCATCGACGAGACATTTAGTTCGAGGTTGGCGAGCCAGCCTTTCTCAGAGTTCGTCCGATTCGCGGAGTTGTGCGATTCGGAAAGAGAGGGAAGCTGCACCCTCGATTCATCGGTCCGTTCGAGGTTCTCGAGCGAGTAGGCGAGGTCGCGTATCGATTAGCCCTACCTCCCGAGTTATCAGGCATTCATAATGTTTTCCACGCATCGATGTTACATAAGTACGTGTGCGACCCCGATCATGTCATTCCTCTTACGGATATTCAGGTTCAGCCAGACCTTTCGTACGAGGAGCGACCGGTAGCTGTATTAGACCGTCAGGTTCGTCGGCTCCGGAAGCGAGACATTCCCCTCGTGCGTATTCAGTGGGATCGCCACGGAGCTACTTGGGAGGAGGAGTCCGATATTCGCGCTCGTTTTCCAGATTTTCAGTTTTGATGTACATATTTCTTTATCCTATGTACATAGCTCATGTATTATCAGTCATGTTTTGAATTTCCGAGGACGGAAATTTTGTAAGGAGGGAGGATTGTAATATCCCGATATTTTATCGGTATAAATTATGTTCTAGTTCCGAGATAATAACGTTATCGTTTATTATTTTCGGAGTTAATTAAATTCAGTCGAGATTACCGAAATTTATTTTCGACGTACCGGTTACGTTCGGAATAATTTTGGTAATTAAGCATTATGTTTAATTAAATAATTAAACATAAGAAAAGGGATTAATTAGAATTAATCATTCAATTAAGGCATCAAGGCCGTCCCAATTAAGACCAAAGCTTAAGCCGTACGGGAATTGCATTTTTCCAAAATTTTGGCTAAGTAATTTCCTATGTCTTAAGGAATTAATCTCCTCCCACACATTATCAAGCATACGTGGCTTTATGGAAAAGGGAATTAGTCATCAACAAGTTATTCCAATTAAGAGCAAATGTAAGCTTATGAGAAGGCCACGCATGCTTCACGTCATCACCATCCTTACGGCACTTAGTATATAAGCATGAGTTTGATCAAATTTTTCCCCCACTTTCCACACAAGTTAGATTCAACATATTTTCTCCCAAGTAGTGCGTACGTTCAGCAAGCTTAAGAAGATCACAATCATTCCTCAAGTTTAGTTCTTGCACGGCAAGTTAGTGTACCGCACGGCAAGGCACGCACCACACCGAACACGCACATACGCAAGGATTGGGGGGGGGGAGAGATTTCGAGCACGTCTTGTGAGTTCAATCGAGATTTTGTGAAGGTAATTCAAGGTTACCTCTGAATTGATCATGCTAATAATGAGTTAGTTCCGTTTTTTTGAAGTCTCGGGCCAATTGGCCGTGTATGTCCGGGAGTGTCCGTGTGTGTGTGTTTGTATGTAGAATTGAATCAAGTCATCATGTTGTTTCAGAATTCTTCAGCAATCAGACCCTATTTGACTTAATTAGGTGATATAGTGTTCAATCATGTTGGGTTATTTGATAATTGTTTGTGTCTTGTGGTTGGGGAGCTCGGCCGAGAGGGTGGCCGCGCATATCGCGCGTGACCACGGGCCGCATTAGCTTAAGGTATGGTTTCAAGTTATAGTCAGGGTTAGTGTATGATGTATGATATTACAGCCTTTAAATGATGATTCATGTCTAGTATCCTTGAGTTGTTGTAGAAAAGTTGGAAGTGGTCGAGTGACGGCCTATCACCGTCGGCGGCGCACGGCGCGCCCGCCACGGTCTTGTGCGGTTCATTGTGCAAAGT